CCAGCCTGCAGAGCGTCTCAACAGAAATTCTGCACATGTGCATATCATTAAACTACTGTTTTCCTTTGGTCTCTTAGGTCTGGTATTCTTTCACGGGAAATTTATAGTTACTCCAAAGCAGCGTAATCCCAGGCCATTTTACTGAAATGTTAAATCATGGTTGCACTGACAGAATTATGCATTTGTCAAGCAGCTTGTGTATGCAGACTTGCAATCAACATTGCATAAATCCTTGTTTATCTGGATAGGTTGGTCAGAGATTATTCATCTTCACTCCCCTCATTTTTCCTTTTAAACTGTTTCCCAGGACTCCTTTGCTTCTGGCTCTCTCCCGTTTGAGCCGATCCTTTATCTCCTTTGGGACTCCCCAGTCCCTTCATTGCATCCTCCACATGATGGAACATGGTTGGATTTAAATCTGCAGCCCAATCCTAACTATTCCTAATATAGGATATTACTTTGTGAATTATTTAACAATATGTCTCTTGCTCTGGGATATTTTTAAAGTAGAAAAGAGATTTATAAATTATATACTTCTAACAGTATATAAATACATAGGCCAAAAAGTCCAGTGGAGAATTAAGTGTGCTTAATGCCTTTGAAAGTAGAGGGCTCAAGCAGGTTTAAACCTTTGTTGGGTTTTGGCCAGTATTAATGTTTATTTAAAAGTCAATCCAAATAAGTACGTTTAGGACAATAAGTTGTGCATATTTTAATTTTTACTAACCTGGATATGTTATCAGTCAGTAAAAGTGCTTAAGATATCAGCCCAGGAGTAAGACATATTGAAGTCAATGGGACTTGCCTCTGAATAGACATGTATAGGATTGCACTTTAATTTTGGTCACACTGTGACCTCAGTATTTTTTATTTTGCCTTATGCATGTTGTAAACAAAAACAGCTTCCTTTCCCTTATGGGGTACACAAGAGCCCTTAGAGTCCTTTGTAGGTTCTCCATCAGTAGGAGAAAATAACAGAGGCCAACTAGAGAATATTGAGAAGCAAAGCAGCTAGTAAACCTGTTCTTTATTAAAGCTGTGGCAACAGGGTGCTCCCCCCACACACAGGAGAGAGGAGGAGGACCCAGGAGAAAGGTGTGTAAACCCTTATATAGACTTTTGAGTTGCCCACCCTGGAGCCCAAGACAACCCCCCCCCCCCAATACATCATAAGTACATCAGAGAAGGGGCAGACTATAACAGAAATCTGAGTGTGTTGTTTTTATCCTGTCTGCCAGGTTACCTGATTGGATTACCTGGGCATCCTGGCCACTCTTTTGTTATGATAACGACTCAATTATTGAATCCAGGTTACAGGTCACAGGCTCACCCTATTCATATCTTAACTGTGCCCTTGAGACAGGATTTGTGAGCAAAGAGACAATGGGGAGGCTCCCCAATTCCTTCGACCTTGCAGAGAAATATTTGAGGTCAATTTGGAAGAGACAAATGGTTTCAGGACTTTTTCTGTGGGTCTCAGACATGTGGTCTATACATTTATGTATGTGCTTGCTTGGTACATTTATGAACATTTACTTTATATATATATAAGACCTTAAAATTCTTATAACATGCATGTGCTACCATACCTGCTCATATGCCTGACTGATTTGCAGCTGTATTGAAATAGGTGTTATTGTAGCAATGCCTTGTGTAAATGTTCAAAACAGAGAGGACTGTGGAATTGTAGAACTGGAAGGGACCCGGGTGGTCATCTAGTCCAACCCCCTGCAATGCAGGAATCACAGCTAAAGAATCCCTGACAGATGGCCATACAGTCTCTGTTTAAAAACCTCCAGTGAAAGGGAGTGCACCACCTTCTGAGGGAGTCCATTAAGGACAGCGTTTTGCAGTATTTTGCCCCTTCACAGTACCTGATTAATCTGAGTAAGTGAGGTTGTAAGGCACAACTCTATTTATTCCAGATTAATCCTGTTCCAATAAATGGGGCTGTCCTGGAGTAAGTAAATTTGGATTATGGCCTAAAATTTCAGAATAGGACATCAGCCAGTCTGGAAAACCATTTGTGATACCATTTTCTTTCCCAAGAGAACATGGTTGGTACTCCTTTGTCCAAAGATGGTGGGGTGGGGGTTGTGCAATATGTTCTAACATTGAGCTGCTGTCAGTTTCAAAAATGTTTGTAATATTAGTAGCCTGGCTGGCATGAGCAACATTTCAGGGCAGAGGAATGCAGAGTTCCTGTACTATTTGCAAGTCATTTTATACTGGGTCGGAGCACTGGTCCATCCAGCTGCCACTGAAAGGCAATGGCTCTCCAGGTTTTCAGACAGGACTTGGAACCTTTTCCAGCCCACTCTGGGCATGCCAGGGATTGTACTTGGGAACTTCTCCCTGCAAAGCATGCACTCAGCCACTGAGCTGCCAGCCTTCCCAAAAGCAAGAAAAGAAACCCACTTAGTGCTGTAATGATAAGAAGTTCCTCTCAAGGAAAAGAGCACAGAAACTTTTAAATGGTTTTTGAAAGCTACTTAGTTTGAGAAAGAGTTCTGAAGGCTTGGTGGGGGTGGGGCTGCACATATGGATAAATGGCCACAGCTGGAAGGCCAACTGCAAATCTTGCGCAATCCCCAACAAGAGACATCTTTTATCCCAGGTGTCACTAGGGGGCGCTGCAACCCTCATTAAAGAGAGGCCGGGATATGGAATTTGTAAATAGGAAATGTCACTCTGATGTATATGTGGAATGAGCTGACAGTTTTTTGAAGAGAGAAGGCGGTACAGCAATGTCAAATGTGAAGAACGTGCAGAATACCTACTGCACCTGATCAAGCCAGGAAGGACCCGCTGAATAAACGCCCAGATCTTAAGTGGCTGCTCTCCCAACTTCAAGTGATGTGATTGAGGCTTATGCTTGCTATTCCTCAGACTTGATCAGAAGCAGGACAAACTGCACCAGCCCCCAGTGTGTTTTAAGTGGATGTATAAATCTGTCACTAAAGAATACTGTGTCATTCTGCTGTACATTTTATTTATACACTTTTGGCATACACCCCCACCTCACTCCCGGCAAAGTTATAGGAGTACGGAGGAGTTTGTCATGGTAGCAGAGCGAAAGTACGGCTGAGCTGTTAAGAGATGATGTATATGCAGAGAGCATAAAATGGCAGGAGCATCTAAAGGTACACATACCAGACATAAATTAACACCTGTCAGTTCCCTTGAAACCTATTTTGCACTCTCAAAATATGGAGTTAAAATTGTGGATTTCCTTCCTCACCAACGCATACATTTTACTCCATAGGAGGATCAGTTAGAATCTGGATGAAAACAGCCATTTGCATGGAGACAGAAAGGGTAGTGAATCTGGATTAATTCATCCAGAGTAAAAGGTTGTGCCATCCTTTGTGGTTTCAATTTATGTACTAGCCAGCATGCGATAAGCTTCTTCCTCTTCAACTCTCTCATCCTTGGGTAATTGACATAACTGATTGTGTTATACTAACTTGAAAAATATGAGTGAATTCCCTGTGCACTGCATCCTGCAGCTTCCTGGCTTCACACCTCCTACGTGCAGAGACATTTTTTGTAGGGGAACAGTTAGGGCTAGTTGCCTTGGGAAATTATGTCACTAGATAGTACCCAGCGTTTCTCAAGAATAGTTGCAGGCTCCGCCCAACTGTCGGCGTACATTGGAGTTGCATTCACACCATTCAGTGCATCCGATATTTGACAGGTAGAAGTATTAGAACAGAGCTAAGAGTCATACTAATTCCTTTGTTGTGCCAGCATCTTCCATGTCTCAGAAGTAGTGTGCTCTGAATGCCAGTTGCTGGGAGTCCCAAGTGGGGAGAGTATTGATGTCCTCTGGTTGGCCACTGTGAGAAGAGGATGCTGGACTAGACAGGCCTTTGGACTAACCCAGCAGGGCTCTCCTTTTGCTCATATACCAATTTATAGCATTTGAAGTTCACCTCAAAATACAGCATAGAATTAATTGCCTGTCAGCTCTAGCAGCAAATGCTCAGATTCTTTGGTGCTGAAACTGCCAGAAGGACATTCGTATCCTACTCTCCTTCCTATATATTATCAGCTCCACTGCATCTAGATTTCTTAGAAGCTTGTGGAAATAATTCCTCACCAACAGGCATGAAAGAGGGTGATATTCCCTCTCTAGCCACACAGTCAGCCTCTGGTATAAGGAGAGCTTCCTCGGAGAAGCAGAAAGAATGGAGCAGGCTTGGAAACCTGGATGAGAAAGGATCAAACGAAAATGTGGAGGAAAGAGAAAAAAGAAGTCAATCACCCATTATCTTAAGACAAGACAACAATCAGAATGTCTTGTGTTAATTTCAGAAGGGGGGTTGGAATTGCTCACACAATGCGCATTTGAGACAGAAATGAAGAAGGTGTAGAGTTGTTGGAAGGCAGAGTGACGATGCTGGTGCAGAACATTCCAGAAGTGGCAACAGCAACAGGGACAGGCAGGGATACGGCTGCAGTGCATCTTGGGTGATGGCTCTGCAGACTCAAAAGGAGCCATTTCACTTTGAAACCTGTATTTCCACAAAGCTCCCTTGAATTTAATTGTTTTTCTCATTTGCTCTGCCCTTTACTGATTGACACCAGGCAGGAAAGAAATCAGCCACTTTCAGAGACAGCTCCCTTAGGCAATTTCAGACTCTCTCCAAGTATTCAAAGCCTTCCAAGCTCACAGCAGTGATAGTCAGAACAGCTTGTCCAAGATGGGCCTTAATGGGACTATCAGAGACAGTGGCTTAGCCAAGGAGAAACAGCTGCAGTAACACCCATTATCCCACTTTCAGGTTTCCATGCCAAAATCATGTTGCCAAGACCATATTGGCTGTGAGTCTGGGAAGACCTGCTCCCTGCTTTTTTCCACCTGGCCTGGGAGGACTGTGCCCTGACTATCTCCAGCTGCAAAAGCTGCACTGCTGAACACTCTTGGGCTGAGGTATTGTTTTTTGGGAGGGGGTTGTTGGCGGGGGGTTGATTTTTTGTACTTTATTTTATATTTTGTAGTGATTTATGTTGAAATTGTTCAGTTCAGTTTTGCATTTTTAAAATGTTTCATTGTTTATGTCTACTTTTGTAGTTACGTATTTTACTCATGCTGTAAGCCGCCTGGAGCATGGTATGAAGTGTGAAAAGGCGGCAGACAAATAAAATGATGTATGTATGATCAGAGGCTGCTCACAGGCCAGATTCCACCATAAGACTCCTCTGTGTGGCTGGGCTGCCTGGTAAATATAATAACTCTTTTAAAATATACTTTTAAGTTCCCAGAGATTTAGCAAAAAAAGACTCAAGGCTTTGTTGGATGCATAAGCCATCCAGAGTGGTTGGGGAAAGCCAGCCCGATAGGCAGGGTATAAATAATAAAATTATTATTATTATAAACTCGGCCCTGGGTTTCTGATCAGCAGGGCCAGCCCAAGACATTTTGGCACCTGAGGTGAACCACAAAATGGCGCCACTTTTCCACCAGGGAAGAAGGCATGAGTGAAGATCTACACTGGGAACAATATGACTGGATCAAGATCTCTATCAGGATCTGCTACCCCTATGAATCCTGCCACCTGAGGCCGTCACCTAACGTTGCCTCATGAGTAGGCTGGCACTGCTGATCAGGTGTATCTGTTGGGTCAGCACCACATCATTTACACGACTTTTCAGATGAGCAGTATATAACATGCTTACTGCAGAACAGGGTAAGTTGCCACTTAGTAAATGATGGACTGTGTTCATTGTCCCCTCTGAATCTGCATCATTGATTACCAAGGGCATTTATTCAGAACACCATCAAAAGAATCCACACTTTGCTCAAATGCTCAGAGGCAAACTTAAAGCTACAGAGTATAAATGCTGCCAACTATCACAGCTTTCAGTGACAGATTTTAAATCCATGTTATTTCATTATTATTATTTTTAAGGAAAGGAAAGAAAAAGACCCTCACACAACTCATCCAAGAGCTGACAAGTCATAAAAGGGCTTATTTTCCCAGTGACAAAAATATCTATTTTTCAAACTTCACAGCAGGGCTTTCGCCTACACACACTACACCATGTAAAACCTGTGGGGAGAAAATGTAAAATGCATTGTGTAAATGTAAATGCAGCTCACATGGGAAACTGCTTTTAAAGCCTACCCCCCGTTTGTGGTGCACATACGGACACAGAACGTGGTCTCCAGACACACAAAAAGGCATACGTGAAAAGAAGCAGAATGGAGAGGCCATGCCAGCCAATGTCGGTTTGCCCCATAAAGTTCCAGTGACGTCTGTCAGATGACGTATGCTACTGTCTTGAAAGTGAGGCTGAGAGATATTCAGTGAAAACGCAAGTTCTCATTGCAGTGGTCCAGGAAGTCCCAGAATGATGTAGCCAGGATTACTTAAAGCACCTGCATTCCATAGTCCACTGACCAAAGATGTGTTCTGAGCTCAGGAGACTCCTGAGCACAATTATTATAGGTTTTCTATTCTAAGTCACTGCTGCAGCACCCTCTTGGCTCAGCCAACCAGTCATGCTCCCCTAAATCTGCCTCTACTGGAAGCTGCAGTCAAGTAATACTTGCACCTGTTATGTTAAAAGGAACCAATCGATAAAAGGTAAAGGTAAAGGTAAAGGTACCCCTGCCCGTACGGGCCAGTCGTGACCGACTCTGGGCTTGCGCGCCCATCTCGCTTAAGAGGCCGGGGGCCAGCGCTGTCCGGAGACACTTCCGGGTCATGTGGCCAGCGTGACGAAGCGGCATCTGGCGAGCCTGCACCAGCGCCGCACACGGAAACGCCGTTTACCTTCCCGCTAGAAAGCGGTACCTATTTATCTACATGCACTTAAGGGTGCTTTCGAACTGCTAGGTGGGCAGGAGCTGGGACCGAACGACGGGAGCTCACCCCGCCGCGGGGATTCGAACCGCCGACCATACGATCGGCAAGTCCTAGGCACTGAGGTTTTACCCACAGCGCCACCCGCGTCCCGCGAACCAATCGATAGCAATCCTCAAAACAGGATAGGACATTCAGCACCAGGCTTCGAAGGGCAATCTCTCATACTATGATTGCTTTCAGTGACACGACAAGGTGAGTATCAAAAGCCTGTGTTTGAAAATGCAGCATCAGAAGGAGGGGTCCACATTGCTAGTCAGGTGCAATACAACTTTCTTACGCTATGAAGATTAAAGGATTTTCTCAAGAAAACAATCCACAAATATAAAAAAGGAGTTTGTTCTCTGCATAGATAGGGTAACAGATTCAATCCCTGAGCTATCTTGGTAAGGCTAGGAAAGACAGCAGCCTCAAATCCACTGTAGAGCTAGGTAGACCAGCGCTCTGACCCAGTAACCTGGTTCACACATCACATTAAGCCATTGTTTAAGTAAATTTTAAGGCAATACAGCATGGGTTAGTGCCTTAACTATGGTTTGTTTGTGAAAATAGGCCATAGTTTGTTGCTGGCTTGCTGCCCTTAACCGTGACTTAGCGTCTTGTATGAACATAGGCACCTCTCTATCTATGGCTTAAGTCTAGATTGTTTCATCGCCCAACAAGCGAGAGCGGCTGTAAAGCAAAGCTGCTCTCAACGCTCAGCTCCTCTAGTGAGCACTTTCCCCAAAGCTGATGCCGCTGCTAACTCCGCAGCACACCTGCATGTGACAAATATACACACACATTTCCTCCCCCGTTTACCGGTATATCTCATGCAACATCTGCTCCTGATTAGTTTTTTGAAGCTACATTTGTCTCATGCAGTTTTCAAGTACTGTAAAGTCCTTGCAAAAAAAAAGGGAGACTTGCTATGTTATATTTCTATGGTTAGGGTGGGGTGGGGTTCAAAAATGTGGGTGCTCCGCACTGCAGGGTTGCACAGCTGGGATGAGGCTGGGATGTTACCAGACAGACTTGTGCTGCTGGAAAATGTTTGCATTTTAACACAGAGAAAGAAATATAAACACCAAGGGTTGCCCATATGGGTTGCGGAGCAAAGGCACAGAGTACAAAGTCCTGTTTTGAAAGATGGGGGGGGCATTAACTGTCTGCTTCAATTGTGAGGCACAAAACAAAATAACGGAGGGTGGTGCAAAATAACATGCCCCAGTAGTAGAGGAATAGGGGACAGATAAGCGGTGGCTCCAACATAGGTGAGGGTTACTAAACTCAAAGCATGAATTCCCAGTAACAACCAATTGTTGGTTGGGGAAAGGAAAAAGCAAAACTAAACCATGGCTTTAGAACGGAGAAGTGGAAGAGAATAGCTTTTAAAAACCACAAACTCCAAAGGGCTGTGGGTGTTTCCTTCTTGGAGGAAGGGGAGAATAGCTGACAAAGATTGCCGAGAAGATTCCCACACCCTCGCTCTCACGACTGACCAGTGACAAGGGAAATGGTGATGTGGTGAGACAATGCCATCAGTTTGGTGCCATGGAGACTTAAGAAATGTTGAGCGGAGGAACAGCTGAAGGGAGGAAGGAGGGCCAAGGATGATGAAACAGGCGAGAGTTACTCTGAATGTCTGTAAGAACAACCAGCTGAATGTCCTTTGCTTTAAGCATGGTTTGTTCAATAAAGAGTGGTTTAAAGTGGGGGTGAGGGACCTGTTTCAGCCCAAGGCAGGAACTACAGTGGTACCTCGGGTTACATACGCTTCAGGTTACATATGCTTCAGGTTACAGACTCTGCTAACCCAGAAATATTGCTTCAGGTTAAGAACTTTGCTTCAGAATGAGAACAGAAATCTTGCTCCGGCGGTGCGGCGGCAGCAGGAGGCCCTATTAGCTAAAGTGGTGCTTCAGGTTAAGAACGGACCTCCGGAACGAATTAAGTACTTAACCTGAGGTACCACTGTACTGTAATAATAAAATATAGTTTACTTACAAACTCTTCAAAGGTCAGATTCATGCGCTTCAGAAAGTTGCCCAGGCAGTAAAACTTAGCTTCATTACAAAGTGGTGAAATAATTTAATTCCTAAATTATTGGTATGGGAACCCAAGAGTGGCTTGTGAGAGCCATGTGGAGCAACCAACCTCAGCCTCCTCACACACTGATCTTCTCAGGCTGACTGGGAAGGCCTGATTGCTTAGTTCTTCCCAAGGTGAAGGGAAGGGAACATAGCTAAGCCTGGCAAAACAGCTTACTCTATGGTATTAACCCCTTCATGTATGACACGGGGCTGGTTTTCCCACATTAACAATTCTGGTATTATTTACATTGGGATGACACACAGGCCTATATGTGTACAATGTGAGCCAAGCCAAAATCAGGGGGAAGTGTGTCTCAGGGGGGCAGAAAAGTGAACAATCAGGTCCCTGAACTGATTAGCAACCCCTGGTTTACATGCAGACAGATTCTTAGGTGAAAGAGGGGAATAGTTTAATTTTTGTTTTCCGGTGGTGATTGAATTCCTTTCAGCTGCTTGCAGGCTTTGATGCCTTCTTTGAATGCGTCAGCGTTGCTTCTTCTGAAATGTTAAGATCAAAAGAATTGTCTTGTTGGAGCAAGCAAGTTCAATCCATGGTGTCTCCAGGCAGGGCTCAGAAAGGCTGCTGCCTTGAACCCCGAGACTCTAATGACAGTACCAAACCAGTTGGACAAATGCTATTGGAAACAGGAGCTTCCTGTGTACCTGTGCAACAGACCAGAAGCCCATCTAGTAGAGCCCTTCTCCCACAATGGTCAATCAAGCACTGCCGCTGGAAACTTGCAAGCAGGGACGGGGGAGAAATTCAAAGCCAAATTCCCACTTTCTGAAAAAATATGGGCACTGAAGCATAGCCATCCTTCAAAATTTGCACTTATCTTAATTTTGTGATGCAGCTCTCCAACCAATCCATGTATACAAAAATGCATATATCAGAGGGAAATGTGCATTAAAATTAATGTATTGGTGAAAAAATAAAATACAAAATGCATTATATGAGAAGAAATTGCTTGCAAAAATATGTACATAAATCAAAACTTAAAACAAAAGTGTATTTATTAAAAGAAATTTGCATTAAAATGCTGAAGAATTTTCATGAGGATTTTAGAAAAACAACAACCCTGCAAATTGTATGAACTGAATTTAAGATTGGAAAGAAATGGACAGATCATTCCAACCCTACTTGCAAGTAATACATGATGGTCATTTCCTATTTGCCTTCAATGTCTGCTTGTCTGCTTTCAAATATAGGGGAGTTTATTTTGCTATCACAGCTAACGTGCTAACAAGTCCATATTTTTAAAGCAGGCTATACTAGTAGGCATCACTACATTTGTAGCAGTTACTGCAAGTTCATTGTGCACTGCAAGGTGTATTTTAAGCTGGGCATTTTTGTGACAGAGATGGTACAGAGTACCATCCCTTTTTGGTTTTCTTTTTTGCTGCCCACGGCACCCAATTTGTGCAGACACCCCAAGCACTTTTATCAATATAACGGCACCTCATTTTATTTTATTTTTACTAAAGGAAAAAAGCACTGTCTTCAAGCAACTGCTCCCAAAGTTTAGCAGCAGCAGCAGGCTTTGTTTAATGATTTTTGAACTAATTATATTTATACATCTTGCTCATGTTAAGTTTTTTAACACGAGTGGTTTATGTAAGCAGTTTTTGCCAACGCTCTTAAGCCCTTGAACTGAAGGATGCGGGAAGAGGAAGAAAATCCTGTGGCGTGCCCAAGAGAAAGAAAACCCGGGCAGTTAAAGGAGCTCCATGAGAGCTGTGGCTTCCTCTCAATCTCTTGTACTTGTTGGCTAAATAAATAGACGTGGAAACATCTCTCTCTCCATAAAAGATGAGGTAGTTGGATCAGTATGTAAATATTGCTCAGTCATTTTACATTTTTTCCGCGCACTGTATGCCTGCAGTGCTCACACACCCTTTACTGATGTCCCTGCCTACGAGATGTTAGGCATTATGTATATTTCGGGTAAAATGTTCACAAGGTTAGAGCTCTGCTTTCTCTCTCTCTCTCTCTCCCTGATAAAAATAACTATCCTAGGTCTTCTGTATCACCGCCCACATGCACTGAAGTGATTGGGGGCGGGGGCTGCAGCCTTGAGGGAGGGGAGAACCTGCAGGCGCCTTCCCAGAGCAAAAGCGTTACATAAGTTAAAATTATTTATGATATTTCATGATGCATCCACAGAGCAGCTGCAGACATTTTCAAACACCTTTCAGTGATTTTGAGTACAATTGGTTTGGTCCTTGGGTAGTGGATAAGACCTTGCTCAGCGTGACTACTGCTGGATAGCAGTACTGTATCTAACTATGATACACACACGTTCATTAATCATGATGACACTTGACAACTATGGGTTCGGAACATTCTGAAATAAGGAAAGGAAGGGAAGGGAAGGGACAGTCTCCAGAACCTGCTGAGGCTAAGCAGGCTCCCAAAGATTAGAGATTACAAGTCCTGGAGGGTTTCCCAGTAAAAATATTCATTGCTGTGGACAGTATCTAAAGTGGAAGAAAAAAGGAGGTGAGGTGGGTTAGGTCAAACTTTATTAAAGGCCCTTCCAGACCGGGATTTCTTTCTGTAACATGTCATTGATGCAATAATAGTACATCAGTGGTGGGTTTATACTGGACTGTTCTTGCAACATTCCGCTTTATTAGTGCTTCCCCAATGTTAGCGCATTATTGCCACCTAGAGGGATACTCTTGCACTATAGCGCAAGAAAACCAAGACCCACACAAACAAAGAAAACAGAAGATTTGTGGATAAAAAGTTGCAGGATTTCAGCAGGGAGTTACGGGATGTGCGCTAATTGGAAACAAAGCAGTCTGCCCGCCCCGAAACTGTTGTAGGTGCAAACCGTATTGAAAGCAGGATTGCATATAACTCCCTAGATACCACCATGAGTACAAACCATCATGAAGGTTCAATAAAAAGGCCACCTGGAGGGGCCCTACTGCCACTGGAAAAGAAGTGGACTAGCATCCCAACCAATTTCACGCACTAGGTATGGGGGAGGATTAAACTGCCCCATGGATTCTATTTGGAACTGCACCCCCTTGAGGCTGCGTCTGGCACCAGCCCTACTCCCTCAGATGCGGTTGGACATCAGCCTGGTGTTCAGCTTCCGGAAGAAGGAGCGCAGCTTGCAGATCTTGCACTTCTTCTTTCGGTTTTTATTTTTCAGTTTTCCATGTCCTCCCTCCCACACGTCCTCCTCTTCCGTCGCCCAAGGACCCCAGGCGCCACCGTTGAAGTCTGGGTGGGCACGAGGGTTTTCTGCCGGGTATCTGACAGGAATGGCTGTCTGGTTGTAGCGGACGAGTCTAATGAGGAGAGCCCTCACCACGTCAGGCCGCTGGTCCGACAGATCGTAGCGCTCGTATGGGTCAGCGGAGATGTTGAAGAGCCAGACAGATTTGCGTAGGCCGTCCGTCAGGCGCTCCAGGTTCCACCAGCTCCCTGGGAAGTTGGTCAGAGTCTGTGGCGGGATCCAGTCACTGTAACCGGGGTCTCCAGTAAGAAGCTTCCAGTCTCCTACCCGCACCGAGGCCTGCACTGCCGTATTCCATATGCCAAAGCCTCTCTCCAAAGAGCCATATTTAGCATGGTTATAAAGAGGGTCAATGTTATGCAGGATTTCCGTGCGGGGAGACTCTTTGCCCTCGCTGATCGCTGGCCACACGTTATAGCCGTCCAAATTGTCTGCCTCGGACAAGTTGCCCCCGGCCAAGGTCACCAAAGTTGGGTACCAGTCCGTGATGTGAATCAGGGCCCTGCTGGTTCTCCGCTTGCGTTTAATCAGCGGGCTGTGCACGAAGCCAATTCCACGAACTCCTCCTTCCCAGTAAGTCCCTTTGCGGCCTCGCAGAGGCCAGTTGCTTCCCCCGGAGAAGGTCTGCCCGCCGTTGTCAGTGGAGAACACGACCACACTGTTTTCATAGTAGCCGTACTTCTTGAGTGCCCAGGTGATGTTCTTCACCGCTTCGTCCATGCACGTGACCATGGCAGCGTATTTACGCCGCGCAACGTTGCCCATGGAGCGGTAGCGGTAGATGTACTCCTTCGGGGACTGCAGCGGTGTGTGCACAGCTTGGAAGGCTACGTAGATAAAGATGGGCTCCTTGGGGTTATGGGCGGCCAGGATTTTGTTGACTCGCTGGGCATAGAGGAAAGTGGAATATTTTCCACTTTGTTCCCAGGCCACGTTCTCGCCATCGTGAAGGTCGTAGCCGCAAACGCCCGGCCCGTCACAGTTGTCATAGGTGTAGTAATCCACATTCCCGGTCAGCGAGCCAAGGAAAGTGTCAAAGCCCCGGCGAGTGGGCAGGCACTCTTTCCTGTAGAAGCCCAAGTGCCACTTGCCCACCATGTGCGTGGAATAGCCAGCTTCCTGCAGCTTCTGGGGAAGAGTGACCTGGTTCAAGGGCAAGCAGTTGGGTTGCCGGGGACGGATGATGGAGTGCTGAAGGCCAGTGTGGATTTGGTACCTAGGACGAGAGGAAAGGGCATCAGAAAGGGAAATTGTTAAAGGCTACAGTTCAGTCCCTCACTCATTCTGCATTTGCAGAGAACCCAAGGGAAAAATCTGCCCTTGTAGGGCAATAGGTGCACTTGAGAATGTTTATTCTGCATATTCAGGATTCTCAAATTGGAGGCACACCTAATATATATATATTGGGGGCAGATTCAACTAAGTAGTCCCGCCAGTGGAAGCTCGCATAAGGACTTTTGCTGGTGCCATGGGGCCAAGCTTCCCTTAGCTCAGGGTTGGGGGTGGGAGAGCCCCAGAAGAGCACACAGGTGAGGGAGAAGGCAGAAATGCTTGCACTGGCAAAGCGATTTGCTTGGTGCTACATTGAATGATGATGATGATATTGTAGCCTTAATCACATTGTTATCACACCATGCTTTTCACCATGCTGTCCAGGACTAGAAATGCAGATTTGAGCCAATAGATTTATTATACCATGAACTTTCATAGACTGGAATCCATCTCATCAGAAGCATAAGCATAGTCTCCAGTCCATTATGCATCATTCAGTAGTTAAGGTGACACAGTACCCTTTGCCTGTTTTTGCTACAATACCAAGCTTTTTGACCAGGCGTTGAGGACCTCTGTCCTAGGTGCCAAATACATTCCTGCAGGCCTCTCTATTGAGCCCTCAGGAATCTTTCTAGGCCTCATTGTTCCCTCCAGGCCAAACCTTTCCCAGGCCCTGCTCTGCCCCAGTAGTGTCTAGTGAGACAGTGTGGGTGGGGCTTTAATGCTCTCCCCTTTTCCCAACACTACAGGTTGCTGGTGGGGGTGGGGTGTAACACACTGTGAACTGGGAAACGGTACATGGCAGCAGGAGTCGGCTTAGATCTGCCACCATGCGCCGCGCCGTGCCAAGCTTCCCACACCTCATCTCTCCCCTTTGGGTAAGTGCCAGTGACCCACTGTGTTTACAGCAACTGAACCTCACTTGCATGGCCTCCCCAGTCACTAACACTCTGCACCCTCCTTGATTGTTTTTGCCTGGCTGGAACATGTCCTTGAACTGTGATTGCTTGAATGAAGAGATGTGGGATGAGGTGAGAAAGCCTCTGGCTTGTGCTTGGCCAGATTGTAGTCTCTTGTGCAAAGATAAGAGCCACAGCTATTGATCATCTGGCCACACCCACCACTATCACTGGTAGCCTTGATAGATAGGCTCAGCCAGAAGGGAGAAACTATTGTGCAATGCAATCCTATGCACTTCAAAGTAATTCCCACTGAATGCAATGGGACTTGATCCCAGGTTAATGTGCAGTCAGATTGCATGGGGGAGAGGGGGGAGAGACCTCACACGCCCTCCACACTTGTCCTGGGCATGCAGGCAATTCAAACTGCAGCCAACACGCTAATTATTCACCCAACTGCTCCCAAGTATTCTTCCTGTATTTATTCCAGGCAGGTACAAAGAGGATTCCCCTTTTTAACTGGCATTGCTGACTGTCCAATCCCTTGGAAGTAGAGTTAAGTCTTCCCAGGATGAAATCATTGTGACTCACAGCGAGTCTGTTCTATTCACCCTGTTACTCAGTCCAAAATGTAGTCTCCTTTTGAAGGAGTGACCACAGCTGACTCTGGCCTCTCTTTCTTACCCTTACATTGGTTTGGGCTGCATAGCCTGGAGAGGTCACACCAGTCCCTTCTGTCTTTGTTACGTGACTGAAAAGGGCTTGGTTACATGGGATCAGGGAGGTTTCTTTGCTTCCTGATTTTCACACTGCAGATCATTTCATAATCATTTGAGGAATGATTACTGTTAGAACATAATTTTTATTCAGAATACTTATTTTGGTGGTTTGAGACACTGGCAATACAAGGGAGTGTAGAGTAAAGAGCGTTTGGGAGAATCCTCAGATGGTCTCTTCTGGTGCAGGAAATGGGTATAGCCAGGATTTATGTTGGGGTGGGGGCAGAACCTCAGCTAGTTAAGTCTTTTTTATTGATTTACTTGATTTAGAGGGGGCAGCTGCCCCCCTTGCCCCCCTCTTGGCTATACCCATGGAGCAGGATCTGCTACGCTTGTCTTTTATTTGAGTTGCTATATTACATTTTGATTTTAGTTTTTTATTGACTGTGTTTATTGACGTTGGATTTTTTTTCTATTGTGTTTTTAAGTCACTTTGAATCATTTTCATGAACAAAGCAACTAACAAATGATGATGATGATAATCTTCTCTATCTAGATGCTCTGTTCCAGTTGGCCAAGGGAGTTTTTTGTTCAGCAAACAATCTCAGTTTGTACAATATACTTTGTCATAATGCTAGATTTCTTCTTCCCTACAAAATAGGTGCCACTGAATAGGAGAATGCTGAGGGAAAAATGTCATTCACACACCCATCAATATTGTTGGGGTTTTGATGTCAGGATCCACCCTTCCCTTTCTGTGCCACCCATGGACGTCTAAACCTATAATGCAGACTGTGAGGCTCTTACTAACGGCACTGAAGTCAACCAGTCAGTAAATTATTATGCCCATTAATTGAACACTAATTCTATCCTCATGTTGCAGACACAGTACAGAAAAGAGCCTGCATTCCCCCTCTCATGAACCAAAATTTACAACAGTCCCTGCATTTATCTGTGGATTTCAGTGGACTGTATATCCACGTAGAGAAGCTCAGGATTGCAACCTAAGGCCCCAGGGGCACATTCCTAATAGAAACTTTTTTAAAAAATTAGTTTTCTTTACGGTTCTACACAGCTTTCTCCTTCTTGTGTCTTGGCAGGCAAGCGATCTTTTTTTCACTTGACATCTACAGTACTTTTCAGCCCAGTATCTTCTCTTATAACAGGAGCCAGATCATGCCTCAAAGTACTTCATAAAAATGAAAGGGGGGAAATAAATCACTCTTACTGCTAAGGGAAATTGTCCAGGACATAATTAAAAGAGAGAGGTGGGGCATGGTATTCAAACGCCACTGATTTCTCCACCCAAAGAGCTACTGTTTGGAAGGGCTGACTAAAGATATTTTGTTGTCTAAGACTCCACTACACACACACACACACACACACACACACGTCAAGGAGCATAAGATGCAAGGCTGGTCCAGTTATTTTGACACTACAGTGGTACCTCGGGTTACATACTCTTCAGGTTACATACGCTTCAGGTTACATACGCTTCAGGTTACAGACTCCGCTAACCCAGAAATATTGCTTCAGGTTAAGAACTTTGCTTCAGAATGAGAACAGAAATCTTGCTCCAGCGGTGCGGCGGCAGCAGGAGGCCCCATTAGCTAAAGTGGTGCTTCAGGTTAAGAACAGTTTCAGGTTAAGTACGGACCTCCGGAACGAATTAAGTACTTAACCCGAGGTACCACTGTACAGGCAGAGAATCCTGCAAATGCCTCTATCCCTCCCTGGCAGTAAATAATACAACAATTATAAAACAAAGAAATAAATAACAATTTGCTGCTGCCCCTCTGTGATAACCCAAAACAGCTGTCTCTGAAGCAGTTGCCTTACTCTGTCTAAGGTAGGGTTGGTGCTTTCTCCTGTTACATACCACATCCTTCTATGGTACTCCTAATGAAAGAAAAGCTTTTCAAACTACATGTATCATTCATCCTAACTGTAATTCTTAGGTCAGCGCGATCCCCATACTGCGAATGAGCTGTGATGACTTGTTTAAAGGCATCCAATGAAATTGCGCCTTCACTGAACGGCTGGAATGAGTATCCCCTCCCAGTGATCGTCACACTGTCTACACACCAACCACGCTGCATTTCACTATTTTGATAAAGTGATATATTTTACCCAGTTAGGGTTATTGTTTGTGCCCCCACTCCCCTCCCAAAAAAAGTCCTAGTATCTTTAGCATCCAGGAAACAAAAGCAAAACTTTAATTGCCTGAAATCTGTTTTTTGTTATTTTAAATCGAGTTGCTCATTTGGCTTTTAAAGTCCCTCTCTCTTATTTTACAGAACGCTGTCGAGTTACCGCCAGCAAGTAGCACGCAGATCTTGCCCCCGGTATAATACCAGTTGTTATTTTATGGAGTGCTGATAATGCCAAGGTTGCAGGTTCGATCCCCGTATGGGACAGTTGCATATTCCTGCATTGCAGGGGGCTGGACTCGATGATTCTGGGGTCCCTTCCAACTCTACAATTCTATGATTCTAACCCTGGGCATCTTCACCTTACCTTTTGAATTCCATGTCCTAACACTTGCCAGGTGTTGCATGTGAAATTATTGGACGGAGGGGGAGTACACACCACACCATCCTGATAAGAAGCTGTGTGTGTGTTTTTTTGCGGGGGGTCTGGTTGCTTGTCCTCCCCCTCCACCCCAGAGCCCTTACCTGCCCGTGATGAGCTGGCTCCTGGAAGGGGTGCAGATGGGTTGGATGTAATAGTTCTCCAGCTTCACCCCTTCGGCCGCCAGCCTGTCCAGCGTCGGGGTCTGGATATCGGAGCCGTGGTAGCCCACGTCATGGAAACCTTGGTCGTCCGTCAGGATGAAGATGAGGTGGGGCGGCCTGGCCAGAGCGGCAGAAGCAGCAGCAGCAGCCGCCGCCGGGAGAGGCTTCCCCATCGGGTCCCCGGGCGCTTCGCCCACCAAGCCGGGCTTCATCCAGTCCCAGGAGAGGTAGCCGAAACTCAGCAGGCTGACGAGGGAGAAGCCGGTGAGGGCATACACAGCCATGCTGGACCGAGCCGGCAGGCATTTAAAAGCGGGAAGAAGCGCTTTCTAGTGCAGCCCCGGCATCTTCGGCAGCAGGAGATCTCCTCTTTCCGCCCCCCCCAAAAAAACTATTTTGTCTCGTGAAGCAACTTTTATGATTTGATTCACAATTTCCCAGCCGATCTAGGGGAAGCCACAAAAGGGATCCTCCTGAGCGATCGTATCAATTGTTAATACCAGCCAAGGTACGAGAGAGCGACGCCCTCAAAGAGTTCAGGGTTTGAAATCCCAAAAGTTGGGGCTTTGCCGTTATTTATTCTCTCTTTCCCCGCCCCCGCCCCCGTTTGCGGGCTGAGCGTCCCGGAGCCCCTTTGGAGAGACAGGATCTTTCCACGTGCTACTCCTGCCGAAGGTGGCGCGGGAGTTCAGCCCCCCATCGCCGCTGCGCCCCCTCCTGGCCTGCGGAGCGGGGGCTGCCCTGGCCTCTCCGCGCTTTGCCCTGGCGGAGATCCCTGGCGAGGGCAGAATCGCATCATTAGCCCCCCTTGAGATGAATAATAATAATAATCTTGAAACTGCCCCGCCTCGAAAATCCACGCAGATCTTTGCTAAAGTCCTCCTCTTCCGCGCCCTCCACCCTCCACTGTCCAGCCAACCCGGGGGAAACCCAAAATGTGGAGAGCGCAGCCAGGCAGGAAAGCCCGTCCTGAGCAAACTCTGAAGAATGCAAGAAGTTGTAAAACATCTGCCCAGGATATTGGCCGGTTTATGGGGAGCCTCAAGCGCCGGCTCCTCCCAGGGCTCTCATTGATTCGAAGGAGTCATCCGGGAGGATCTTCCCGGGTCCTAAGAGCGGTTCCTTTCCCAGGCGGTCTCAGCAGCGTCTCTCTGCAGAGTCTGCAAGCCGTAAGCTGAGCAAGCAGCGTTTGCGCGACGCCTCACAGGGGGCTCCGTCCGCGCCCGTTTTTCTTCCCCATCCGCCAATGCAAGCGCACTATTCCACGCTGTAAATGTAACCACGTGGCCCAGTTGGGATCTCCTGGTTGTAGAGGAGCAATAATACACGCGGAGCCCGCTTCTCACGTAGTCCATGGTGGGGCCTGTGCAGGCCCATGACTCGCTTCATGCATGTTTGTTAAACATATGCAGTGTGTGTGTCTGAACGCCACTGGTGAGTCACTCACAGCGCACCCTCCCCCTATTCTTCTCTTGCCCCTTTTGCCTTAGAGAACTGGACAGGTGTCCTCTGAATTATGGTGCTGGAGGAGACTCTTGAGAGTCCCATGGACTGCAAGAAGATCAAACCTATCCATTATTAAGGAAATGAGCCCTGAGTGCTCACTGGAAGGACAGATCCTGAAGCTGAGGCTCCAATACTTTGGCCACCTCATGAGAAGAGAAGGCTCCCTGGAAAAGACCCTGATGTTGGGAAAGATGGAGGGCACAAGGAGAAGGGGACGACAGAGGATGAGATGGTTGGATAGTGTTCTCGAAGCTACCAGCATGAGTTTGACTAAACTGAGGGAGGCAGTGGAAGACAAGAGTGCCTGGCGTGCTCTGGTCCATGGGGTCACGAAGAGTCGGACACGACTAAACAACTAAATAACAAAAAGTCACCCAGTTACCATTGTGCAAGTGGAAAAATAATGGCCGCATGCGCTGGCCGAACTCCCATTGGCCAGGATAGTCTGAAGCAGGGAATCTGCCCTCCAAGCACTTGATCAGCACATGACTTCGAACCTTGATCTTGCACCCTTCTAAATCAGCAGGGCCAGTCCACGCCAGGTGAGGCAACCGCCTCAGGCGGCAGGATCCCAGGGGCACCAGATCCTGATCTTCCCCACCCCTTGGTTCACTCACCCATTGTTCCCTGGTGGGGAGGGTGCCATTTTGGGGCTTGCCTCAGGTGCCAAAATGTCTTGGGTAATCATGGGAGGCTGTGCATGCGCAGCAGCAGCAGCAGCCCTCATAGGGCAGCTAGGAGGTGGGGTGTGCAGCCCATGGGGTGATCTCTGCCCAATAGGGGCTGTAGCTGGTGAACCAGCCGTAACTGGAAATATGCACCCCTAGCCACGTGGGCCTCATATGGCAATGCTGGATCCAGGAGTATCCTCAAGCCACAAACCTGTCCTTCTAGGGGAGTGCAGTCTCATCCAGAAAGGGCTTTATTTTCACCTCCTGGGCTCAAGAACATGGAACACATAATAACGCCTCTGTTTTTTCCTTCCAGGATTCAGCCCATCACTGCCCCTCTAACGCCTTCCTAGCACCTGAGCTGCCTCTTCTGATTCAGATTCCGTTTATCGGTGAGCAATTCACTCCAAAACGCCTTCATATAGATTGCTTTTTTAATAAATAAATTAAAAAAGGCTGCAAATGTCTTGCATTAGAAACTTTGTTTTGCCACTATCTTAATTGTATTCTAAATAAGAATGAAATAGCATGGGGGGAAAGATGGAACTCTGTGGGATACCACAGGAAAAGCCCCATGGTGATTAACAGTGTCCCCACATAACAACTTTCTGGAAACAGCCCTAGAGGTAAGAGCAGAACCACTGAATTGCAGTGACCCCCACCACTTTGAGCTGCTCCAGAAAGATATCATGGTTAATGAAAGGCACTGAGAGGTCCAGAAGAACAAGCAGGGTAGTTCTCCCAGTAAGCCTAAACGCTCTGTAGCAGGACTCATCCATTATGAGACATCATGCTGATGGCACCGAACTAGAGCTAATGTGAATGTCACGCCAGGGGAAATCCCATTTTTAAAAATCCCCATGAAAGCCCGGGCTTGCTCCATCGGGCAGACAGATTGCTTTTCAGTGTGTGATGAGGTGAGTAACCTTTTTTACTAACCTCACTGCAGGGCAGATTGGAAATCACAACAAAATAATTGAGCAACCCCTGCGGCTCTGCAGCTGGCCAGGACTGACTTTGGCTTATGCAAATCTGCTCTTAGCAAGCCAGCAAAGGGCTCTCTACTACTGTGGAGCACCTGAATGGTCCATAAACACATGCATACAATACTTTATATCTGAAAAGAGATGGTGTCAGGACTCAAGCCTCTTGGAAACCATGCCTTTTGCCTTGAAAGCCATTCTTCAAAGCCTTCTAGATGTGGAAGCACCTTCTTTTTCCTTTTTCTGAAGGCTCTGCACTCTGCACATGTTCCAGTGCACTCTGTTTGAGCTCCGGTGTTGGAAACAGGTTGTGGGGTCCAGTCTTGCTGAGCCCTGACTAAAATTGAATGCTGTTAGTGAAATCACTGCCGCCAGAGGATTAAGAGATGATCTATTTCTAGGAGGTATTCATTCATCCCTGTAAAATTTTGCAGGGCTAAAGTCCCCATTGAGAGCCATAACCTCAACACATCTTTGCTCCCGACCCAGTTTGTCCTTAATTGCTTTCTAGTGTGCGTGTGTCATGGTGGGGAGTCAGATGTCAAAACATGGTTTCAATACTCTTAAAGCTGTGTGACAGATAAATAACTTTTCCCCCCTTCTGCCTTTGGGTTCAGGGCTGTTGCTATTTTGCAGCTTGATTCTATCATGTGCAATTAAATTCAGGTTGTGCAATCAATTTGATGTTCTTGTGCAACAAACCCTCTTCCAATAAATAAATGAAACTGGACTTCTGCAATAAGGAAAGTGATGGGAAAACACACTGGAGAGTACTGAATACCCATTACTTAATGCAACATTGTATGACCTCTCCACAAACAAATCCAAATGAATAGTTAATAAACAAAGGGTACTCTCTGAGCTGCCCTCAAACTTTGTGCAATCAGATCAGGATTTGATACCCAATGAATAGGCCATCTGGAAGTGACCTCTCTCATTTCCCCTTGGATACTAGCTGGTAAGTGCTCATCCTTACCATGGCAATTGTTTCTTCAGTCTAGGCCATTTCTCATGGGTGCAAACTGATCTCATTCAGTTGATAGCAAAGTTTGCTCCAGCTTAACACCAAAGTGTGAGTTTTCCCTGGGAAATGAGTGGGGCAAGGCACAGGGCAAGCAAAAAAAAGCACTTGGACTCATTCTTTCTAGGTCAGAAGGGAGATTCTCAACACATTCAGCTTAGCATGCTTAGAAGCCTTCCCATGGCCAGGAACCCAGATAACACAAGGTTTCTGAGCATGAGGCTTCTGAGTGTGTCCAGCTGAATGCACTGAGATTCTCCCTTAAGTTTGTGCTCTCACACATTCAGGGCTCCAGTCTAGAACTGGGACACTCAGATTCAGCCTCTCACTTGTTGAATATGGCTCCCTGCCAAATTCCTTGACTTCTCTGTGTCTCATTTACACTGGAGCTTTACGAACACTTTCCAGAAAGTTAAGTCTTATTGAACCCAGCAGGAAGAACTCCAGGAAAACATGCAAATCCATCAAGTGACCTACACAAGCCTTTTGTAAGAAATCGCTAATGTGTGTAAAAACATACTGAGGTGGTGGTATACCTTCTGTCATTTCAACCTCTCCTTAAAGCCACATTTTTTTAAATGGAAGAAACTCTAGTCCTTGCAATGCATTTCCATAAATGCTTCGAAAATCTGGGCTTTCTCCTTTCAAAGTTTTCCTTTTCCTTTTTTGGAAATAAAATCTACGATGCTATATCTTTTCTGTTTATTATAAAGCCCGGGAGTTCTTTAAATTGTCTCATTTGTATATCCTTAGGTCATGTAAAGAATTTCCCTTCAGACTGGATTTAACATGACTTGTCTCTGCCGGTTCCAGTTCATCAGTATTTTGCTCTTTGGCTCAGTTCCAGTTCATTCACTATCAGCCACTTTTTATATGTTTCAGACAGATTAACATCAAACTGAGGATCGCCCTGTCACTCGTGTCAAACGAATGCAAAGCTTGAAAAAAATTGTATTTTTAAAACATGCTACTATATGTACAAATACAGTGGTACCTCAGGTTAAGTACTTAATTCATTCCGGAGGTCCGTACTTAACCTGGAACTGTTCTTAACCTGAAGCACCACTTTAGCTAATAGGGCCTCCTGCTGCTGCTGCACCACCGGAGCACAATTTCTGTTCTCATCCTGAAGCAAAGTTCTTAACCTGAAGCACTATTTCTGGGTTGGCGTAGTCTGTAACCTGAAGTGTATGTAACCTGAAGCGTATGTAATCTGAGGTACCACTGTACCACAACTTCCAGAATCTCATTTCCCACATACAGTGGTACCTCGGGTTAAGAACTTAATTCGTTCCAGAGGTCTGTTCTTAACCTGAAACAGTTCTTAACCTGAGGTACCACTTTAGCTAATGGGGCCTCCCACTGCTGCCACATGATTTCTGTTCTCATTCTGAAGCAAAGTTCTTAACTCGAGGTACTACTTCCAGGTTAGCAGAGTCTGTAACCTGAAGCGTCTGTAACCCAAGGTACCACTGTATTCCTTCCAAACTGGCTTACATAGCAGGAACATGATTTTAGCTAATTTCAGGTACACACCTGCATCTCTCAGATCTTTTCCCCCACCCCAAGACAAAAGGGGAGAGACTAGTTAGATCAAGAGCGCAAATGGGGCAGGCTCAAAAGTTTGCCTGTCAGCCAGGAGCCCCCTGAGCCAGATTTCCCTGAGGAACCTGCCACCCCCTTTACCATGGGAGTCTTGCACTCCTCAGTTGCTGTTCAACAGTGCAGGTAATGCACCAGGAACCGCCTGAGAGGAGATGGAGGGATGGACTGCAGGCCAGAGGCCTGCTCTTTTAAAGCTTTCGGGAAAGGAGGCAGAGCCTGGGAGAGGTAGAAAAGGCCAAAGAGGGGGGAAAAACCCCAAAGCTGGGTTCCAGACTTGTACCGCTTCCAGCCAACCTCCTTATAATGAGCATTCATTCTGGTTTGTTAGTGGAGAGATTAGATAAGGTTTCTGAGCTTCTGATCATTGAACCACTTATTCTGAGTTGGTTGCTGCTTTTACTGTAATTAGGGTTTCACTTCCAGTTCATGTTTAAGTCAACGAAGAGGTTTTTAGCCCAAGTTCACTTCCAGATCACTGAAAAAAAAGTATTTGAACTGCTGTGATATAGGCTCAGGATGATGCCTATTCCCTTGCTGCTACAGAGGCACAATTTTTTTCCATGGAATCATAGAATTGTAGAGTTGGAAAAAGAAATTCTTAGCATGTATGTTATTGGCATTTGATTCCTTTGATGTAGGCTGATGGTGTCGTGACTTCAGAGACTTGGTAGAATCCCAAAGAAATTTCTCCCAAACAATATTATTATACATTTCATTTTTTGTATTAAACTACCAAGTGGCTTCCCATTGAAATGCGTTATCTGAAGAAGTGACAGCAGTAACATCACTAAATGCATTACAGTACAATGTAAGATTTTCTTTTCAAGGCTTATTACCATTTTGAGGTAACTGAGAAAGCGAGAGGCTCGGTTTGGAGATACGAGATCATAAGGAAGCTGGAAGAGGTTTAAAAATGTATCAAGGCAGGACTACTTCAGACAGCAAGTGGGGGCTCACAAAAATTCACTTTTCCTTCATCCACAGTTCTTCCCCCTCATTGAAAAGTAGCATGTTGGGTAGAGGCTGGGCTAGAATCCTTCCTGATATCTAATTGTATGAACTGCTGCAGGCTTAGGGTTTGGACAGGAAACGGACTGCTTAAAATCGGGTGAATCTGCTAGGCAGGTCTGGCCTGGCCTTTGCTAGGCAATGATAGGTAATGTGTTGCCATGGGAACTCAATAATTATCCAATTATTTCTTGGTACAGAACTATTTCGAATAGGAACGACCTTTTGAGAAAGGGGCAGGCACACACACATCAGCCCACTAAATGTGATATGATCTAGGCAGCTGCTTATGAAACTGCAGCTCAAGTATGGGCAGATGGAGAAAGATCCCGGTTGTCATGGATCCTATGGTGCCAAGTGGGATGGGGCAAGTTTGGAAGGATCTGTCAGAGGAGGAGGAGTTTGAGGCATGGGTGGATGTAGCCGTAAGCCAGTCCCTTTTCTGCTTCTGGAGTGTGATGGTCCCTCTGTAGCTGAGGAGCTAAATGACCGCATCAGAAGCAGAGGGAGAGTGAGAGGGTTAGACTAGGATCCTGTCACCAAGGATGTACCAGCAACTGCACTGCCATGAACAGATCCACTCTCCCTATAGAAGGGCTCATTTGCAAGCACTGTCTTCTCTCCTTGAAGGAGAGCCATGAAGACGACTGGTCCTGCCCTGTTCCTTTAAAAGCAAAACAGGGGGCAGCATGTCAAGTACTGGGACAACATCTTTGCTTTGCCTAGCCATGTATCCTAGTTTCTGCTGGTGTACCTTTTGAGCCTCAGAAATACAAAAAAATAAATAAAAAATGTCCAGTAGCACCTTAGAGACCAAGTTTGTTCTTGGTATGAGCTTTCATATGCATGCACGCTCATACCAAGAACAAACTTAGTTGGTCTCTAAGGTGCTACTGGAAAAATGTTTTTATTTTTATATATATATTTCTACTGCGTCAGACCACCACGGCTACCTGCCTGAATCTTTTGAGCCTTATAATCTGTATCCTGAGCTGACGCAGAGTGCTGATTTCCTATTCTTTCGTCTGAGGATAGAAGCTGGGACACTGGGAAATAACTGTGTTGTGAGCTTTGTGACTGACACAATTTGGGGATACTGGCTGTCTCACTAAAGATCTGATGTGGACGCAATGGACTTTGGCCCTCTGTTTGAATATTTAAGATGAGCCTCCATCAGTGTTCAACCTGTATATTTGTAAATACATTGCCAATATAGCAAAATACCAGCAAGCCCCCAGTGACCTTCCAAAGGGAACCAAATCTAGATAAGTGCTGTGCAAAAAAACCCAACAACTTTTCACCACTTAGAGAAATTGAGTGACAGCAACAGTGTATTTTTATTGAAGTAATTTGTTATATGAAGGAATGTACAGTCATGTCAGTTCCCACCTGCAGTCCAGATTGGTGTAATCCAGAGTCAAACACAAATTCCACACCGTATTGAGAAGAAGGCTTGGAATATATATTAAATGCAAATTAGGATCTGTTGGTACTACCGCACTGGGGATACAAATGAGGTGGATTTGTAGAAATGGGGTTTCAAAAGTGCCAACATGGGAGTGATACAGTTTTTGTTTTGTGTAATGCACTGGGTAGCTTTCAGAACACATGTTTGAGAAGAAAAATTGCAGCACTCCCTATTATATAACAGTTGCCATCTTGGGGCTGCTTCACACAACCAATAGTTTGCCTAGTTATGTTGTTAGCTCAGTGCTTATTACAGCTGGACACAAAGTAAAACAGCCATCTGATACCTATGTCATGCAACCAAAATGATTACCAACTTGCAATGGGGGTGTCAATGGGAGTGCAGGATTTTCCAGCACACCACAGGCAGTAAATCAATCTAGCAATGGGACGAAGCAAGCTGGCCACTTATTATTTATTTTAAACAATGGTAAACCACCTTTCAGTGAAATAGTCTCAGAAATTATTTATATAGTACCTTTATATCCTTCCTTCCAAAGGAGCCCAGGGAGGAAATGTATTATATGCTTTGAACACACCACATGGCCAGAGCCATTCTTGATGCAGGATACCATATAAAAGGACCGAAGGACTCTGTTGGAGTTCCATGACAGCAGTTACGCAAATGGTACAATTGCATCCACAACATGAATCAGAAGGGTGATTCATATAAACAAAGTTCATTTGGTCCAGACAATGATACAGAATGTTATCGTTGATCTCAAACATAGCAGCACAAGGCACATGAATTCATTTCTCAACCGGTTAACCATTTATTAGGCCAAAAACATGATTGGGTGGTGAGAAGTGCCAGCATGAAATGCAACATAGTTGAAGAAAAGGGGGAAATTCTTAGTATTAATGCAGTGTTTCCTCAAAGTGCTTAAAGTATTTCACTTCAGTGATTTTTATGACAACTCCAAGAAGTAGGCCCAAATTATCAACATCACATTACAGGTAGAGCCTGAGAAATGGTGGCTTGTCTGGAACCTCTATTTCTAGAATCTATGTTCTATCTATAAACCTAGGAGGACTCCCATGTCATAGAATCATCTCATTGTCTCTCCCTTATGAAATATTTTTGCCCCTAAATTTCCCTTATGAAGCATTTTCCCACCCTACATCTCAGTATATCATTTTCACTCGTTATTATCCTGCCCTCCTTAGCAGTTCAGGACAGTATACTGTACGTGGTCCTCACTTTTACCCCAAACAACCCTGTGAGCAGTGGCATAGCGTGGGTTGTCAGCACCCGGGGCAAGGCAAGTAATTTGCGCCCCCTAACCTGTGGATTTTAGCACTCGAGTCTCTTCCACTAGAGAGCTGCGAGTGCGAGCGCACCCCCCCTGCACCCCCCACGCTACGCCACTGCCTGTGAGTTACACTAAATTTAGTATACTGATTTCTCAACGCTCGTAAGCAGTTTTCATGTGTTTTGTTAAAATTTCACCAGACTGCTATCTCCTAAAGAGAGGTCTCAGTTATGCTGGTATGACCCAGAACTGATGCCTACTAGGGAACAAGCTACCCTCATGTCCAGCTTGTGGGCTCCCCAAAAGTATCTGGTTGGACCTTGTGGGAAATGACATGCTGTACTAGATAAGCCTTTGGTCTGATCCAGCAAGGCTGCTCTTACGTTCTTAATTTCATGCTGAAGTTGGCAAAATGCAGAATTTGGCCTCTGAGCAGTGTAAGGATTTGGAGAGAATGAGAATAACCAGTAAAGCCATTACAAAGTGAAAATACACTTATGAGAACATAAGCGGAAACATTGCCCAGAGCCTAGTTCATTTTGGAATCTCTTGGGTTTTTAAGATTTTGGTGTGCTTTTTATTGAACGCTAAAAGTTCTGAAGTCAGGAAAGAGACAGTGGGCACCAGTGGAGTGAAATAGTTCTGGGAATCCCTTTCTGAAGAGATCCAGATTCAAAAGTGATCAAAACATATGACAATTAACACATCTGAGTGCATTCAGATGTGGGGATTGTTGCATTCATTTTCCTGGTTACAATACTAGTACTTCTGTCCAAATTTCTAATGTTCCCGTTGTACTGCAGTGCCTGTTTTTTGATCAAAAGACCACCATGTTGTGCTAAATTCCATTCACACCAGTGGGTGTGATGTGACACAACTGCATACATCATTAAGTGTGTCAGCACCCTTTATGTGCATGCATGCTTCTATTCCCTCCAAGGAAACATGCCCAGGGAAATGCCAAAAAGTAGCTGTATGCTGGAATAGCACTCCAAATTTTATCACATCATATGATCCATGGAAATGGTGGGGGAAATTACAGTGCAGAACTCCAATGACCTTTTGCATTATTGGGGTTGCAAACAGATTTTTTTTTCCCCTGGAAGGAGTTAAAATGGAAATAAGTGCTAGACTTCTACTAGATTCCACTTGATTTTCCGAAGTGGCTTTTATGTCATGTGAAAGATCACATAAAATGTGGAAATTATCAGGTAAGGAAATGTTAGCAAAATGGAATGAAGTCCTGCCTAAATGCAGCTCTTGTTTTTCATACCCAACAGATTGAGGGGAAAGATGGAAGATTAATCCAATGAAAGGAGCAGTTGCTACTAATGCTTTTTTGGGGGGGGTCATCATTTGTCCAAGGACATCCTTTGTCATCAGCTGCACTGTTAAATATATGCAGTGAAAACCAAGATGTACACTTGAGTCATAACGTCATACTGTTTACCAATAAATCCTTTTACAACTATCTGGCTTTCTAGCTCTCACACTCCATCTGTAATATGATACCACTAATGATAATAATTCTGGCCAATATAACTGGATTCATTACTGAGATTAACAAAAAGTGCTTTGAGCACCTTAAAATTTACTAGCATTTTTACTATTATGTACAATTTTAGCATTTATTTAACGGCAATCAATTGGATGTCACTATGAATCAATATGGTGGACTGAACCTTTAAAAATGGCACTAAATTTAACCTCTAGTTTTATAAAAGCACTGTTTTTTGTTTCTTAGAATTCTCAAGCAGTGTTGTGTATGAGGCTGCCCACACACACACACACACACACACACTGTGTGTATGTGAGGCTGGGGGTAGAAGAGAGATACTCTCCCAAGAAGTCTGAACATAATGTCTCTAAGACCAATTTACCAGCTGAGATTGTGAAATAGGGCAGTCCTGTGTGCACTGTGCTTACTGTTCTGAACTTCTAGAAGGAAACTGTTATGTACTGAAGTTCTGGGCCAGCAGGGGGATACTGTAGATAGTTATGCAAATGAAGGATCAAAAGTGATGTTCAGTGATTGGATAGTTTGTATGCAAATGCAGGATCGAAAGTGACATTCAGTGATTGGATGGTTTTAGAAAGTTGCTACAGTTACGTTGTTCTGGAGCTCTATATAAGCAGGCTGACTGAGCTCTTCAGTTCAGTTCTGTTCTGGCCTCTGAATAAACAAGAGCTGTTTGAAGAATCGCTGTGTCATCTGATATGTTCGCCCACAACTTAACAGAAACGTAGGATATGAATGTATTAACTACTGCAATTAGATGAAAAGAAAAGACTTAGGAGCCATAGAGGAGTGGCTACTCATTGAAATCCCAGGATCCTCAATGGTTGGCCAGACTGGCCTGTACAATGAGAGCTCCAGTTGTTGAGAGCATGTCCAATTGCAGTTACAGGCTTCAACATAATTCTGGTATGTGTTAGCATTTCTCAGATTTCTCCAGACGCTGTCAGGAAACAACGGTGTGTGGGAAACACCTTAAGGTCATGTCCATTTGTGTTACTCATAATCGTTCTGACAATCAGTAAAACAGCCTAGCTTCTTCTTGTTGAGCTGCTGGATAGTTTAATGCTGACACCGTGTTGTTCCTCTGACAGCTGTTGCTAGTCAACAAGTACTCTGGTAATATTCAAAGCCAGCTTTGACAGCAACATAATCTTGATATGTCACCTCAAAGGAATTCAGTACCGGGTTTCTAGATCCGTCCCAAATCATGCACTGGCTGGATCTCAGGTGATGCAATAACCTTTAACATGCAACAACATTTTAAATAATGTTTAATTACTGCATTTTTTAAATCTCAGGGTGGTGTAGATGGTTCACCCCACCTCACCCTCATGTAAACCTTACTATAGTTTGCAGGCTATAAAGTCACATATCCAATAGCATCTGTGATCATAGCTGTCAAGTGTCCCTTATTTCAAGGGACATTCCCTTATTCCAGCGCCATGTCCCACTGCTGTCCCTTATTGGTGGATGTCCCTTAAATGATGTCCCTTAAATTTCAAAGGAAGCAGCACCTCTCCCTCCCTCCCTGCCGGCCAGGGAGGAGGGAGGCTCCAACTGTGTTGCTTGGCTGTGTTGCTCACCCAATAAGAAGTCTAAGAACGACTGGGGGTGGAGCTTGCATGCCTTGTGTGTGGCTAGTTAATGCAAGCTGAGGGGGT